AAGGTGAAAATGAGTTTTCATTTTCCATTTTTTACCAGTGCGGCTCTTTGGACAACTTTTATATTAGCATCATTCGAAAGCCTGGTAAAATATCACTGCTCTTAACACTTAGACTTTTGCTTTTATATGACTATGGTAAAATATGACCACTGTAGAAATTTGTGAGTGGCAGATTAAAAAAAGACACTTAAATATCTGTCGTATAAATTTTAATAAATAATAAGTACGGACCCCCCTTAGTGTAAATTTCATGTTAATTCACAAACATATCTCTAGTTTTTTCTACTATTGTGAAGATCATAAAAAATGCATCGCATTCTCCCCGAAACTAGTCGTTTGGCAGAAGTCCAAGGTACTCGTAACTACACGAATATGAAACCTGAATATCCCAGTTTTACTCGCACTTGACAGTACTTGTTCCTAGCATATTCATCCACTTATGTCTGAGTAGAACATAGTTCCAGCAATAGTAGACGTTATATTGAGTTAAAACTTCAAAACAAGTTGTGCAGTTTCCTATGTACTGAATGAGGTTGCTGCGGTTCTCCGAAACGTACGCCATTATTGTTACCGGTTGCAAAGTTGCAATTCCTAGGCCGAATCAGTAGTGGGTAGTTGGTTGGAAATTATTTCGACTGTTACTTTATGTTCTTCTGTAACAATTCGATTCAGTGGAAAACGATTAAAAGCAAAAGACCGGGATAGTTTAACTTAATTAAGCAATCGCGCGAAGTTTCGACAGTTATTGACTTTGTATTTTACACAGATTTCACTATGCAATGAATATGTATAAGTCGGATATGGTAATTTTGGAATGATTTTATTTGGTTGTCGTAACATTGAATAGGTTTGCAATATTTGCGTCAATTGTTTTTAGTAAGGGGGCGTCTAATACGTGGGACTTGATCTAGTAAGATATCACATGTATTTATGTTTTACCTGAATTTAAACAAAAACCTAAAAATTTTAAAAAATCCAAAATTTTTCAGTAAAAATCCGAAAAATTTAATGTTTTTAGGGTAAGAAGGTAAGGTAAGATAAGAAGATTAATTCAGTTAAAGATTAAAAAAATCCTTAAAAATCACGTGATTAATAAGAATAGACCACGTGATTATAATTACTATTGTCTCAACATACAACTTTTGTTTAACTTTCCAAAAAAGAATTTTATATTTTCGCCAGAAAACTCATTCGCATATTTCATATTTTCTTGACGTTTTAAATACAATTTTTCCAAATATCTACGTTAAATTTGTTTTTCTCTATATTTGTCTTTAGTTTTTTCTTTTCTATATATTAACTATAGTAGATACACCACTGGGCGTATCTACTAATTTGTAACCAATTGTAAACACTTGTCAGCATTCTCTGCTAAATATAATTATTTTTATAGATTGCAGAATGAAAATAAAATAAAAAAAAATTGTTTTTGATAAAGTTTAATCGTTTTGGCTAAATTAATTTAACATTCATCACTTTTCTATTTCTCTTATTCGATTTATTTTAAAATACAGTGTTTCGATCACATCAAAACAACAAAAATAACTCATTTCTATAATGATGAATTATCTGGGAGTTTTACTAAACATAGTCAGATAGTTGTTTGTTTGATACGTGTTAGTTATTGTGATATTATTGGTTTAACTTTCACAATATAATTATTCACAGTCAAATTAAACCTGTGTGCCTCACCCTATCATATACCATTTCTTCTAAATAAAAATTTAAGAGTCTTTTACTATGCCCCGGTTTCCCCTAAGTCCAATTCACAATCCATTGTCGAATAATAGTTTCCGCTAAGAACGTGCAAGAGATAACTTAAATTTTATTGAATCTCGACAGAAAAGTTTTTGAGGTTAGTTGCAATAATAGGAATTCCGAGAGATGAGAATATCTTCCTTGCGGAGTAATAATAGGAAAAGTTTAGGCAATGAATTCGGCAGTTTTGATTAAATTATTCAAACACATATGTGGAATGTGTGAGGAACTTAATTAGAATCTACCTATCTGCATATTTGCTTCATTGTAATAATAAAATTGTTAATGTAAATTGAACGCAAGTCTCAAGATTAAATATAATTAGAATTTAATCATATTGATTTGTACATATGATATACTAAATATCGCATATAATAATATCATAATTTTTTTCGTTAATTGAAATAAAGTTTATTCAATGATGAACATGTACCAATTCAATTTTTTTCATCCACTACATTTTTCAATTAAAATCTAGAATGCCGAAGATCCAATAAATAATTAAATTATAAATCACTAGAAAGCTTCTGGAGTTTACAGAATAAAGAAATTTTATAGTCAACGCAAAGATAGGAAACAAATGCAATTAAAACTCTCAGTAATTTGTGAAATTCTTTCGTAGATAATTAAACTCCATTTCCTGACTAACAAGAAAAAGATTAATCATGGAATATAAACGGCGTGTAAGATTTCACATTTTTAAGTATTTGTATAAGAATTTTGTGAAAACATCCAAAAACTAGTGGGGCGCATGGCATCTAGCCTTAAGGTAAATTGCTGGAACTTCCCGTACCAAATACACCTAAGTCTGTTTTTACACGGTCTTTTTGTACACGGTTTTGATATAACACGGTTTGAAAATTGAATATTTTTAATTTTTTTTTAGCACGTATTGAAATTTGATGTACTTAAATTTTTTTGTCGAATTTAATTTTTGCGAAGTATGTTCATATCACAAAAAAGTATTTATGAAAGAAAAAAGTCTGAAACCATCGATAGTATCGATAGTTTGCGAACACTAGCTTATAGATTTAAGTGAATTCCCCTTTAGCGCGTACAAACAATTTTTACTGGTCAAAGCAAATGTGAATAGCACTAATTTAATTCTTGTTCTTAAAAATTCTTGTTTTTTACTAATTTTAATAAGTTTTAGAGATTACGAACAAATCACCCATTTTTGTATAAGATCAATGTCTTTTTTTACACGGTTTTTTTTACACGGCTTTTTCTGGAACCAATTTACCGGGTAAAAACAGACTTAGGTGTATTATTATTTTTTTAAAAACGATTAACATTTTTGAAAAAATTTTACTTCGAAAAAATTTGATTTTTGAGAATCTAGGAATTTGACAAAAAATTACTTTTTTTGAAAAAAAGTACTGCTTAACAGCATAGAGACAAAATGTCAAAGTGCGTTGTCTCCTAGGGAGATCAAAAAATCCTTCAAAAATCGATCACGTGATTAATGGAAGCCAGTTATTTATAGCGATTGGTTTTTATTAGCTTACAAAATTTCAAAAATGTGTCTCATTAGTCTCAAAGGGAGGTCCAAAAATCCTTAAAAAATCGATCACGTGATCAATGAAAGCTCCCTATTTATAACTAATGGTTTTTATTAGCGTACAAAATTTCTAAATTTGTCTCATTTGGCTCAGAGGGATTTCCAATTTTTTTAAAAAAATCTATCACGTGATTAATCCTTTTATTTATAGCTAATTTATAGCTAAAGTACACAATTTCTAAATTTATCTTATTTGGCTCAGAGGAATTCTAAAATTTCTTAAAAAATCGATCACGTCATTAATGGAAGCTTCTTAATTGTTTCATTTGTCTCAGAGGGAGGTCTAAAAATTCTTAAAAAATCGATCACGTGATTAATGAAAGCCCCTTGGGAGGTCAAAAAATTCTTTAAAAAATCGATCACGTGATTAATGGACGCCCACTATTTATAGGTAATAGTCTTTATCAGCGTACAAAATTTCTAAATTTTGTTTCATTTGCCTCAAAGGGAGGTCTAAAAATACTTAAAAAATCGATCACGTGATTAATGAAAGCCCCTTATTTTTAGCTAATGGTCTTTATTAGCGTACAAAATTTCTAAAGTTTGTTTCATTTGTCTCAGTCGGAAGTTTAAAAATCCTTAAAAAATCGATCACGTGATAAATGAATGCCCACTATTTATAACTATTGGTCTTTATTAACGCACAAAATTTCAAAAAAATGTCTCATTTGCCTCAATGGGAGGTCTAAAAATTCTTAAAAAATCGATCACGTGATCAATGAAAACACCCCATTTATAACTATTGGTTTTTATTAGCATACAAAATTTCTAAAGTTTGTCTCATTTGTCTCTGTGGGAGGTCAAAAAATTCTTAAAAAATGGATCACGTGATTAATGTTTCTAGCTAATAGTTTTTATTAGCGCACAAAATTTCTAAAATTTGTCTCCAGAAATAGAATAGAAATGAAATTTGTTTTTTTTGCTATTTTTCAAAAATTTGTGACCTGTTTTTTTGCTCTATGGGCGGGCTAAAATGGGATGACCAGTGGGAAATCATACCTAATGCCTTAACAAAAAAATTACGTTGGCGGGAGATCTAAAAATCCTTAAAAAATTGATCACGAGATCAATGAAAGCCCCCTATAACTATTGGCTTTTATTGGCGCAAAAATCCTTAAAAAATCGATCACGTGATTAATGAAAGCCCCTTATTTATAGCTAATGATCTTTATCAGCGTGCAAAATTTCTAAAATTTGTCTTATTTGTCTTATTTGTCAGAGGAATGACCAAAAATCCTTAAAAAATCGATTACGTGATTAATGGGAACCCCTTATTTATAGCTAATGGTCTATATTAGCGTACCAAATTTTTAAATTTGTCTCATTTGGCTCAGAGGGATTTCAAAAAATCCTTGAAAAATCGATCACGTGATTAATAGAACCTCCTTATTTATAACTAATGATTTTTATCTTATTCTAATGATTTATTCTTAGTCTTATTTGTCTCAGAGGCAGGTCTTAAAATCCTTGAAAAAAATTGATCACGTGATTAATAGACATCCCCTATTTATAGCTAATGGTCTTTATTAGCATACAAAATGCCTAAAATTGGCCTCATCTATACCACACAACATTTAGATTTTATTCCTTCTGTTCTTTCAAGGATTTTCTGATTTTCCCACAATCTATTACCTCTTCTCCGGTCGTCTCGTAGAAAATTTCTAGAAATAATTCAACTTGCCTGTGACGAGATTTCCGTGATGAAACTGGCAAACTGCATCCGCCTCGTACCAGGAGATGCGATCGCGGAAATGTCGATAGTACATCGGGGAGCCGTCTTGAGGTAATCGCCAAAGACTTATGGGGCCCATCACCGGAATCTGCGAAAGATGAACGATTTCTACGTGTCAAAATTACATTCTTAGTAAACATAATATTGTGAATAGATAGAGAAATATTTCTGATGATGAGTAGGCGGAATTGGGTACGGTTGTGCCACAATTTTTCGATCAGCATTATTTTGTTAACTCACTTATTAGCTGGGATAGGAGAAAATTAAATGGCAATTTGAACATTTGTCCACGTGAAAATACTAAAATACTGTCTTTAAATACGATGAATTAGTCATAAAAACAAATCATACAAAAAAAAAGACCGAGTGGCAGAACCATCCTTGCTCTCAGGTACGGTAGTGACAAACATGAAAATATGTTAAAAACACCGAAATGATTTTTAACTACTTTTATTATCTGAAATATGTTACACAACACAACATAATTATTAACTTTCCGTAGGGTAAGTTATTGTAATGGGCCGAAAATCGGAATTGAAAATTTATACATTTCTCGACGTTTTGAAGGTTTCTGAGCGTTTTGGCATACCTCAGAAAAAATGGATGTGTATGTGTGTGTGTATGTATGTATGGATACAAATTTCCAGTAACGTTTTCGGGCGCACGGATCAACCGATTTGTATGGTTCAAAAAACATTCGATTCCTATTGATAGGGAAAAGAGCTGATTAGTTTTTGGCTAAGGCAGGTCCAGCCGTTTCAGAGATGCGGAGCAAAGAGTGCAGAAAATAGAAATCGACTTTTTAAGAGAACGGAGTATCTGATTTGAATGATCTAAAAAACATTCAATTAGTAATGATTGGGAGAAGTGTTTAGTTAGTTTTTGGCAAGAGCAGGCCCAACCATTTCGAAGATACGGAGCTAAATATGTAAAAAATGGCAGTTTTTGAGAGAACTAAAGCGTCCGATTTAAATGATTCAAAGAACTTTCTGCTTGTCTTAACAAAATAATTGATTTTAGATTTTTTTTTTAGTTTCTTTGTATATCGAAAATAATTCAGATTTTATTTTTATTCTGACTAATATACGAGTAACTTAAACAAATAATTTTAACTTTGCAATTCAGTTTATATATTTCTTATAAATATTAGAAAATGTTACAGTAGTTATAATAATCTATTTGAAAACATTCAATATTCCTCGAACATTTCGTTACGGTACGGGAAGTTCCAGCAATTTGCCTTAAGGCACGATGCCATACACCCCACTAGTTAGTTTAAAAAAAGCTTGTGAAAAAAAATTTGATTTTTATTTCTTTTTATCATTTCCAAAAAACGTTTTTTATTTGAATATCGAAAATAATTCGGATTATCAAAATTTTATTTTGTTACGGGCAAATTCCAGCAATTTGCCTCAAAGCACAATGCCATACACCACTAGTTCTTTATCTATTTAAATTTTACCGAAAAAGGACAAGAAGCAACAAAACTAACAGCAGGTAATTATTTACTAATGTTTAATTTATAGAAAATTTTTCTACAAAGTGTTAAAAGAAATTGTACAAAAAATTTACGTGTACTTTTCGCTTTTTAAAAGGAATTTGGTCTACAGAAATGTTACTCAATGTAATAATGGAAACTTGTTCGAACAAACATACTTCATATTTCTCTTTTTGGACTATCATTATCAGTAAAGTTAGCTGTTATGATGACTGTCTCCTATACCGTTTTTTAAAACAAATTATATACATTTTTGATTCTTAATTCATGTCAAATTTGAACCTTACAGAATATGATGCAGTTTATTTTATTTTATTTCATTTATATTTAAGTATTTTCTGAATAAATCATAATGCAATAAAACTAAATTTCTTTCGTCTTATCTGGATCTTTTAACAATTTATCAGCATTAAGCAAGGAACACAAAGTGGTATATAAATAGTGATTGATGCACTGACCAATTTTCCTTAAGCGTTCCGAAGGCAACTTGATTGATCGATGTTTCAGTAAGTTTTATCTGATATTGCACATTTGTTTCAATTAGATTCCACAGAAGAACTATCAATTAAATATGTAAGGATCACAAAACTCATGTATATAACATATTGGATAGAACGAACAAGCCGTTGTAAAAAATTGTAATAATTTATTTTATATAAGAGTATGATATACAAATAATGCAGAAAGTTAGACGGATCGTTCTTGTTATACAAAATATCGAGCCTGGGAAAAAATGAATAAATAATATGATATATCCCTTAATGTTTTCTAAATCACTATATCATAACCTTATGTGAAATATTCCCGGACTTTTTAAACCTAATGCATCACGACTCCGGAGGGTTCCGGACACTTCTTGTAAAATGACAAGGGTACTTGTCAGTTAATTTGTAATAATACGAAAAGGGGTAGGTAACATACCTCAGTGTCGTAATATGGGACATACAACAACATTTCACAGCATATTAAAGGGACTTTAAGTAAATTAATATAGAAATTATAATTAGATTTCACGCCATTGAAGTCATGAAATTAATCAGTTGATAAATTGAGTTATTAATTTTGTGATGTTTATTAATAAAGTAATTATTGGAAATCAATAAGCTTTTAAGGGATAATTAAAGTTTGTAGTTTGCATACTGTAGATAGTAGATACCAATTTAATAACTGATGTAAATAACCGCCAAACTTAAAACTAGTTTTAAAAATTATGTTATAAATCTAGTTAAGTTTTCGACAATTTTCTGTGAATTATTTGTTTGAAAGTTTTATAGTAGCCTTGTTAGTATAATAACTCATTTTATTTTCATTCTCAAGACTAAATTTATTAATATTAGGTTTTTTCTACTTACTATATTGATTAATTTCTACATTTATATCAGTGTATGATAGTATTTAGACTTGTAAATGAATAAATAATTTTTAAATGAAATTGAAGTAAGTACCTAATAGGTTCTAATAAGTACCTAATAGTTACAAGTTATTTAATTTTGTCTAAAATCTGCAATTGAAATTATGATTTGGACATAAATATAAATTTAACTATGTAAGTCCTCGCCAATTTTGTGTGTGTTACAAGAATTTTGTGATTAAATGTGAGTAAATATTTAAATAAGTTTCTATATAAGAAATTAATAAAAAATATATTTTCTACATAGCAGAGTTATAACAGATGAATTTTGGAGAGTTAACATTTTTCGTTCTTAATAATTAATTTAATAGACTTACTTCTTTTGTCAAAAAATCACAAAATAATGTAAATTTATTTCACTATTAATAAAATATATTTTTATAAATTAAATATGAATAAAAAGTATTGATTATTAAATTAATCTTAAATCATTTGGCCAGGGTTTATATTAGCCTCGTAAAATTCGATCAAAAATCGTTTATTTCGATATATCAGTTGCAATAAAATAAAAACACATATAATACAGTACATTTATTTTATGATTCAACAAAATCGTAAAACGATTTAAAGCCTATGTTATCCTAAAGGTTGTTTTACACAAATGATATTTCTGACCTTATATGAATAAATGAATTTTTGTGCCTTACACAGATTTTTTTTTAAAAAAGTAAGAAGATATATATTTTTTTTACTTTCAATATATATATATATATATATATATATATACATATATAATTAAAATCTTTATTATAATTTAAACACTTATTAAATTTTCAAAAAATACTTCTGACAAACTTAAATTTAAATATAATTAAAATTAACTAAATATAAATAAGTTTATAGTAAATAAATTCAATAATAAATAAATAAGTAATAAAATACTTAATAGTTAAATAAAATATACTAAATCTGCATAATATTGACTTGAGCCTTATTATAATATCATAATAATGTATAGCCCTCGTCAGGGCTTATAAAATAAATAAATAAAAAATATATAAATATATATTGAATTTTCTAATGTAACTTTTTTCTTTGTTTTGATTTTTACCATTCAAACTAGAACAAATTAGAAATGCAAGAAAATTAAATTTTTACGTAATAAAATGGAAATATTGCTTATAGAAATTTGGCAAAAATTAGCAATAATTATTTTAAATAATATTTGGTGTGCTAAATAGAATGTAAATTTTACTATTTACCTAGGGTAAAAGGTCAATGTGGTGATACAAGTATTATCGAATTTTTTGTAAATCAAATTCAAAATTCGTGACTATCAGCCTATATTTGAATTGCATTTTGGGTTATTTCCCAGATCAACAATAAGCATTGATTTTACCCTTATCCTTTTCCATAAATAGATTTCTCCTAAGCATAAAATAAGAGTGTGTGTCTTGAGTATATCGTCCAATCGTCCAATAACAATATCGTACTAAAATACCGGAATAAAAATGCAATAATAATAAATGTATTGATAAAACCCCATATATATATTGCAGATATTTTAATCAAATCGAGAGCATTTTTACTATCAGGAGTGGCGTGGTGAGCTCGTAAACAGAGATTGACACGAGTCGCATACATAAATCTTGGGACCCGGAAAAGAAACCGTATAGCATATTTCACTTCGCAACCTCTCGCAATAAAGTGATTCTATTTGGTCACAGAAAGTAGTATGTATTATCCCGTGGGATTTGTTCACAGTCCTGATCTAACTTGTTTCTGAGCTTTATGGGAGAGGACGACTCAAACTTATAAGAAAAACTGAACGAACGCAGCCTCCGGGCTCCGGGCTTCGGGCTCCGGGCGCCGCTTGTTCCGGAATATCGCGGTACAATATTCACAACGGCACACAGGCGAATATCCTGATTATGCAACTTGCTTGAGGTGAAAAATTGATTTCGGTGGAAAAATACCGACGTATGCCGGAATTTGAAATATTTTGCATGGAATATTTCTAGTTCGGGAAAAGCAAGAATATCATATATTTGCGTTTATATTTACGTGCACATATTTATGTTTATTTTTAGATATTTCTCCATATTCGTTTCCGTATTATTTATTATAACTAGTGGTATGGCATTGTGGCTTAAGGGGCACAACTAGTGTAACCGCCTAAAAAAGGGTGATTTTTGAGAATTTATATTAAAGAAAAACAACTTTATTAATC